CACTAAATAAAGGCTAGGATTAAAAACTGACCATCAGTCACAGTATGCAACAGAGATCAAGTCTTACTTTGTGTTGTGGTGCACAGTTATTCTGTTCCTGTTTTTTTCCTTCAATTCACAATGAAGTGTCACATTCTGACTGCTTAAACTAAACACATACTTTTCTTAGTTTTGATTTGTAATAGCTTTATTATAGTTTTAGGTGAAAAACACAAAACACCACTATACAAATCTGACACCTGTCAAACAACGGCAGTTGCTCTGCCTGAATCAACATTCTGTAACTGATTGCAGGAGGGCTTCTGTGAACATGGGTTGTTGACTGGGCTATTAATGCATATGGATATATTTCAATCTAAACAACTTAATTGGACTGCATTGTACTTAGCAATGTCCATTGTCCTATCAATTTTGACCAACTTCCTGTCCATACTGAAGACAAGCATCCTTATAGCGCAATGCTTCATCCTTGAAGGTTTACCTAGTTTTAGTTCTCCACACTTCTCCACACACTAGGGTGTGGAGAAGAACTATGTTTGGCAAACAGTTTTTTGTTTGCATGGTTACACTATCCAAAGATAATGTTTTACCTTTGGATAGTGCCTGACCCTTTGGGCCGCACATTTGTCCTGCAAATGTCCTGCTAGAAATTTGCAGGACAAAAAGAATAACTTTTCTGTACTCAAGGGGTACACAGGGTTGGAAGTCTATACATGTTTTTTAAATAACCTAACCAACTTTCACATGCAGTTCTTTGCTATATTGTTTAAAATCTTCACCAAATATTAACAAGAAGTGCATCATAATTTGGACTCAATACCCTCATGCGAACCTGAGGAAATTATAAAAGATTAATTTTTTCTCAAACATTGTTTTGATTCCCACACAGGCATGTAAGAAAGTAATCAAATCTTTCTGTATAGAAATTAAGGCTTTTAGAAGGAAAACACAAAAGTTGTGTCTGAATGTGGCATAGGTTTCAATTTCAAAATAAGGGAAAAAAATGGCAAAGTCAGAGTAAAAAAAATGCATGGAATACATGACCTCAAAAAAATACCTAAGCCATGAGCATGAGCATCACATGAGCATCACATTCAGCTAATTTTATGCAGCAAAGAGAGAATTAATAACACATTTTCTAAATACATTTCCAGAATAATTAATGCATAAGATAAAAGTTGTCTGGCATCTCTTTGCACATATGTGACCCTGTTCCTCTGCTCTCCAATGCAATTCAACACCTCTATGAGCACAATGTTTTCCTGCCCCAAGAGAAATTCTTCCATTTCAACTCAATTGATTCCTCTATTCCCGTTTCCAATCTCTAACTTTTTTTTTCATTTCAAGCAAGAAGTGCATGCATTGTCAATGACATCAAATAAAGGGCAGTCATTGGTATGGATGAGGAGGATCCTAGGAGATTGAGGCACCTTCACCGACACAAAAGTGCAAGATAGGAAGCCAAGGGAGAAACAAGAAAAAGAAGAGCCTTTAACAGCGAAAACAGATTCTTTGATATAATGTTTTTGTAGACACTTGGAGGCTGAAAAGAAGAATGGTGGCTTGGTATGCAGCAGAATGTTTCTTTTCTGGACAAAAATAGGAGGGGACTGACAGGCAGAGATAGCTACGGAGAGAAGTGTTGTTCATTTGCATACACAAAGCTCTTTGTTGGGAGGGTGGGCAAAGTTTTCAATCTGTTTTCTAAATGTGGTGTTTTTGATTTTCTGTCAAAATTACCTTGAAGACTTGGTTAGATCATCAATGCTCAGGATGTCAGTGAGAAAAAACACACATTTCAAATCGACAAATGTGTTTTTTTGAACTCTCCTACTCATGATGAGACATTTTAAACTGTTTGTACACCATTTAACATGCATTTTTAGGACAGTGGAAAGAATCCTGTGAGAACAGGAAAATATCCAAACTCCATGCAAGAAGGTGACCTGGATTCAAACTCCAAAACATTCTTGTTACAAGACAACAGTGACATCAACTTCTCTACCGCACAAACAAAATAAGTCACATCACTTCTTTAATCTTTAATTCTGCAATGCAAGTGTGTTTGTGAAATTTTGACTCTTAAAATTTTGTAATTTCATGTACCTTTTCTCATACAACGTGAGTAAATAATTTACTGTATGGCTCAATACAAAGGCCCTTTGAATGGGTAAAACAGAAACCTTCAATAGAGGCTTCAATAGATTATCCACTGAAGGGGGAAAGAAAAGAAAAGGCTTCATTACCAACCACATAAAACTTAAATAGAAAAGAGTCAGTGGAATGGCTGCCTGTATGTGATAGAGGCATACACTCAGCTCTGATGCCTTGGGTGTTCTGGCCTGCTGCACTAAGGCCTCACACTGGACCATACAGATTGCTGCCATTATGGAAAGTGGGTCTGTGGTGGCAAATAGACCTAAGCTTTCACAAGGCAACATGCACACTAGGTGCCTCAGGCTCATTTTGTGATCTGACTGCAGACTTTGGTGTAATTTACATGAAACTGAAGCTCTGAAAATTAATTTTAATGTAGCTAGTTCTTTTGTATATCCCATAACAACTTAGGACTGTAGGCATTGTTTTTATTGCCATTTTGTTGTTTATTCATTTGGTCCCGAGTTGGGCGAGTTAAATATTTTATCATATTTAACAGCACATCCTGTGTTTTGCCACCCAAAAGCCATCAGTGGAAGCATGGCAGTGTGTTTCACTCTGACCCTTACATAGGGGAACTATCCTATGTCTAATTTGTGCAGCAGCTTCAGTGGTAATACAGTGAGTCACTTAAGAGTGAGTCACTGTCAACAAACAAAACACAGCCAATGCATTCTAAATGAGGGGGAGGTGGGAAACTTCTCAGGTTTAACTTAAACTTCCATTTAATGGCTAAAAGCATGTTGTCATGCTGTGAGCAAGAGGAGGCCAGGTCAGATGAGTTCAATCTCTGCCATGCAGTATTAGCAATAAAGGTCGTAGACTGAGAAACTGTAACAAGGCACCCTTTTTTCCTTAAAATATCTTCTGCTTGGCTAGATATTCTGCAGAGCTGTATTTTTCATATTCATTTCATGGAACATTTGATTTGGAACCTCTTTCCTCTCAGGGGTTTTCAGAGTATTTTTTTCTCCAGTGCTCCTGTGCCACTGCTCTTTTGTCATCATGAAGGTGGTTTTATAATGGCAGCCGTTGGCAGTCTACAGCAGTATTCACGACACCATTTATTCCTGCATTTTAACTGTAGTTGAATAGCTGACCGGTGCTTTTACTTGATGACCTAAGCATCATTACTGATAATTTTGTTGCACTATGTGAACTCAATAGAATTGGACTGCTTGTCTTTTTAAGCTTTTAGAATAACAATTGGAGCATCCACTTATTGACAGTTGAAAAGAAAGCCTTGCTTACAACGTCACTAGGTGTGAACCAAGAATTGTTTGCTGAAAAAAAATTAAACACAAGTGAACGCTGGGACTAAGCAAAATATCAGGGTTTAGCATATATATTTTGCCCTCATACTGAGTAACTGCTATGTTTTCATTTTCAGCATATGATTGACTGGAAACATAGCAAATGAGATGATGGATACAAAACTCAGTATGGGTCTTCTTTTTTTAATTTATTCATGTTACTTCTCCCAAAACTGTATTTATTACACATTTGCTTTATCTTATTAATTCACTAAGTTTTTATCAGTAGAAATACATTTGCTGCCATTATCTAATAAAGAAATATTCTTCTAACATTGCAGCAAATAGATACATTGGTTTTTCATGGATAATGTTGTTTTCTGTTAAGTACAAACATTCATTCCTGCATAATAAAATCATTTCAGCGGATTGCTTTGAATTATATGTTATTATTGTTGATTGTAGTGTTGTATTCATAGATATCTGTGCAACAAGAAGTTGTTGTTTTTTTTCCCCCTGTAAAAAACACCACAATGACCTTTGGGTTGGTAAATGCTGTTATGAAGTCTGCAATTATAACAACGACGTGATGTAACAGAGAAAAGTTGAGGTCAGAATTATACTTTTGAGCATTGACAGTCAAATATTAGTCACAAAACATGCTTTCCAGTATAGTCAGACATTTTACTGCTAACCAATGTCAGGTAGAACAACTGGTAGGATCAAATGTACACTTCAATAGAAACTGTCTGACATGAGTAGGTGAAAAAAACAAACAAAAAAAAACCATCATAATGTCATAATCTGAAGAAGTTCATTCATTTATTGGTCTGGAATCAGTAAGAAACCTATTTCTTGGGCTTTGGTTCTGCAGCAAACCACAATCTGAGCCATTATCCACAATTGGAGAAACCATGGAAGAGTAAACCTTCCCAGGAGCCTCTAAAACTGGTGTCCATCAGACAGTTCCAAAGAAAAATGTATTTCAGTCATTTTGTAACATCTTGTAACATTTCGATATAACAAATGAGTACAAGTAGAACAAAATAACTAGGGGCAGTTACTTCTCACTGCTTATTTTTGTTGTCAACTCTTCTTGCACAGGTGAAATTTATGAGAATATTATATGTATTCTTTTCATAAAATTTTGATTGAATATTTGATCTATGTACAAGATTTATCTACTTACAATACATTGAGAGATTTTAATTCATGCATAAGGTAAAAATGCTAAATACGTTTGATCCAAGCAGTCAGTTCACATGGTGCTGTGTATATGATTTAACACGGCTTCTTAACATGAACCTCCCGCCTGACAGTCTTCAGGTTAATGGTGTGAAAACAGGGACCCAGCTTTACTCAACCTGTCAAGTGGTAATTGGCCTACAGTTTCCCTTAATAGGAGTGTGCCACAGAGACTGCAAACACTTCTTAAACTGTGTACGAAATAATTGGCGAAGAGCAAATAAGAAGGGCTTGAGTAAACACGAATCATCTCTTTATATGTAACATTTTACTGTCAACATAAATGTTTAATATCTTATAATCTTGGCTTATGATCCACTTTGTGCTCTTGTTTTTATATTGCAGGTTATTCATCTGTGCACATGAGAGAGACAAAGAAAGGAGAGACTTGTCAAAATCACCAAGATGAGACGGTTTAATGATGGTAGCCTCTGAGGACAAAAACTCAAGACAAGCCGAGGCAGTGGAGTCTCCCTTTGAACATCGCCTCAAAATTGGCACAAGCATATCTCATTGAAAAGAAACTGAAAAAGGATAGCCTATATATATATATATTTTTTTTTTATTGGTACATGGGGACAATATGCATCATCACACACCCATCGATAAACACAAAACAAGAAATTGTAATTATTGTGGCTCTGAAAACAGCTGAACTTCCTGCTGCATCCCCAACAGAATCAAATCAAGGTACTGAAACAACTGTACTACTAAACCCCTTTGTTGTTTTTTGGATCCATACATGACTTTAAGAAAAGCACAAATGGCCAGTAGATCAGACGGGGTGATGAGTGCCTTGTTTTGGTCTATAACTCTTATATGTTTGACTCACATTGGCAGAGTAAGTGGTGACTGCTGGTTGATTGAGGGAGAAAAGGGCTTTGTATGGCTTGCAATTTGCAGCCAAAATCAACCACCCTACGAAGCCATCCCACAGCATATCAATAACACCATTGTTGACCTTCGTCTAAATGAAAACAAAATCAAAAGTATCCATTTTTCTTCTCTCAGTCGCTTTGCCAACTTGACCTACCTGAACCTGACCAAGAATGAGATCTCATACATAGAAGACGGAGCCTTTTCTGCTCAGTTTAACTTGCAAGTTCTCCAAATGGGCTTCAACAAGTTACGAAACCTGACAGAGGGGATCCTCCGGGGTTTAGGAAAGCTGCAGTACCTCTACCTCCAGGCGAACCTGATTGAAACTGTGATACATAATGCCTTTTGGGAATGCCCCAACATAGAAAATATTGATCTCTCCATGAACCGAATCCAACAGTTAGATGGGTCTACGTTTACAAGCCTAAGTAAGCTCACCACTTGCGAGCTGTATACAAATCCTTTCAATTGCTCGTGTGAGTTGCTGGGGTTTGTGAAATGGCTTTCAACTTTCCCAAACCGGACAAATGAGCGGATGGTCTGTGACTCTCCTCGTGGTGTTGCAGGTTACAGCTTACTGAGCCAGAATCCTAACAACCCTACATATCGAAATGCACTTCACATGCTAACTACTGTGTGTACCGATGACTATGTGACCCCATTTATTACTGTCTCTATGGAGTCCACAACACTACCACCTGACTCAACACTTTGTGGGCCGGAAGACTGTTCCTCAGGCACAGAACCAGAAGACACAACCATTGGTACAACTGAAAACGAGGTGCAGGGAACCCCTGTGATGAATCTAAAGGCAGTAACAAACACAGTTGCTACTGTTACAGTTCAGTTTCCTGATCCCTTCAAAAAGCTGTACTTTCTGGTTCTTTACAACAACAACTTCTTCACAAACCTGGACAGGCTCTATAAAGTACAGGAAGATGTTGAGATTAAAAACCTTCAACCCCACTCCAACTACACAGTTTGTGTCACTTCAGAGCGCAATTCTCTGAAACAAAATCACACATGTCTGACATTCTCCACTGGTCCTTGGAATGGAAAAGACAGAGTTGTAAACAATGCAACTGCTACTCATTATATTATGACTATTTTGGGCTGCCTTTTCAGCATGGTGATTTTTCTGGGAATTGTGTATTATTGTTTGCGAAGGAAGCGTCAACAAGATGAAAAGCAAAGAAAATCAGGAAGTCTTAAGAAAAATATAATGGAACTCAAGTACGGACAAGAACTAGAAGGAGGGACTATTTCACGAATGTCACAGAAGCAGCTGCTGGCTGGAGAGAGCATGGCCCGTATGCCCTACCTCCCATCTGCAAGTGAAATGGAGCAGTACAAGTTTCAAGAGATAAGTGAGACTCCAAAAATGATGAAGGGGAACTACATGGATGTCCGGAGCATGGATCATCATGAGCGCAGAGAGTGCGATATGGGAATGGCTGGGAACAGTCAAGGATCAGTGGCAGAGATTTCCACAATTGCAAAAGAAGTTGATAAAGTCAATCAGATAATCAACAACTGTATAGATGCCCTAAAATCGGAATCAACTTCTTTTCAAGGAGTTAAATCTGGAGCAGTGTCGACAGCAGAGCCCCAACTGGTGCTAATATCAGAGCACCCCCAAAGTAACCCTGGCCTTCTTTCCCCAGTGTATAAGGACAGCTACCATCACTCTCTTCAGAGGCATAGAAGCTCTGATGTCTCGCCAAAGAGGCCCAGCACTGCCACAGGCGGGCCCATGCGAAGCCCAAGGCCTTATCGCTCTGACTCCAAGTACATAGAGAAAACCTCCCCAACAGGAGAGAGCATCATTACAGTAACACCTGCCGCAGCCATCTTGAGGGCGGAGGCAGACAAGATTCGCCAGTACAGTGACCACCGGCATTCATATCCCGATGCTCAGATAGAGGAGCTGGAGGGACCTGACAGCCACAAGCTGTTGGAACCCCTTACCCACTCCCGGTCCAGAGACTTAGCCTACTCCCAGATGTCTTCTCAGTATCACAATCTAAGCTACTCATCCAGCCCTGAATACTATTGCAAACCTTCACACAGCATCTGGGAGCGATTCAGACTCCACCGCAAGCGACATAAAGATGAGGAATACATGGCTGCCGGCCATGCGCTGCGTAAGAAAGTTCAGTTTGCTAAGGATGAGGACCTGCATGACATATTAGACTACTGGAAAGGCGTTTCAGCCCAACATAAATCATAATTCATCTAGGTGTTTTAAAAATGGACTTTCTGTTGCTAAAATGACACAAGAACATCATTTGACATTTGAATCAATGGATACTTCTCTACCATAATTTACTAATCTTTCATGTATATCACACTATCTTTTGACTGTGAAGAAGATGAGACAAGGATTCTAAAACTTCTCTTATTATCTAAAGCATTCAGCTTGGAAAAAACATATTGCAAATTAATTATATATATGTTACAATGGATATTAGGTTTTTTGGGTATCGCATGGCCAAGTCCTGTGACAGTGGATTTGCTGTTGTGTAATATGAATCTACTATATGAAGAAAATGAAACTTTTAAATTTTTTGAGGAACTATTGGGACCCACACAAGCAGAACACTTTTTTTCTTCCTCCTTGCATATATTTAATTGAAAAATGTGTACAGATATGGGTTTCTATATTTGAAATGTTTGCTGTGTAAATGGTGAAGTATTAGTAGATGAATCAGGTTTATCAAACTGACTGCTGTCTTTGTTGAAAATATTTGTTAACGTCTAACTTTAGCCCTAGAACCGCAATCATCCCAGTACTCCTCAGAACTGCCATAGGTTTTATCCCCATTTCTAGAAGCCTTAAAAATGACAAAGATACAATTTCAACAGATTGTATTGTGATCATTTCAATAGTTTTATTAACTCTATAGAGAAAAACTATTTCACCAGTTTGTTCTATAAAATTGCATCAGGCACACATTTTCAATCATGCTTGATAAGTAGTAAAATTTATCAGGCATTTTATACATCATCCAAAAAAATTTTCTAATATCACGTCTAACATCTCTTTTGTGTTTTTGTTAATTTAGCAAAGGAATGAAGAAATTAATCAAACAAAAATAAATGAATAAATAAATAAACAGGAATAAAAATGCTACGCGAAAGAAGTAATATTTTTGATTAAAAATATTTCCAGATTAATGTTATCTTCACACGTTCACAAAGACTGACTCTAACATTCAAAATCCCACCAGATATCCATCCCCATGCTGTGTTAAAGATGCAGTCAAAGGAAAAAAACAGGAAATAAAATACACCCTCTAAACTCTAATGTAAGTTTTCATATCCGATCCAGTCGTTACAAGGTTGTATATTTGTCCGAATATTATCTTAAATGCCAAAACTGCAGTGTTTAATAATTTATGAAACAAAGACAAAGCCAAAATAGAAATGCATTTATATCGACTGGACTTGTGGTTTGGTTTTCTACCCACTTTCTGGGTTATTGCACAGTTCTTGTTCTTGCATTTGCAAATTACAGAAGCCAATTTGTGATGGTCCAAGGATGTACACAATGCAGTCAAGTAATCTGCAGAGTTCAAAAATAAAATTAGGAATAGCAAGCATGCAAGCAGCCTCAGAAGAAGATCCACTGGGTCTGCTACAATTCTCAAATATATATATTTGAGAGCTGCCCATTAACAAAAATGTTACCAATTTTAAATAAAAAATTTGGAGAGCAATAAGATGACTTGATGCACTTTTTTGGACCTCTGATTCTTGTTCTTTTTTCAGGCCTTTAAATAGTATCAAACTAGAGCCAGTAGTATATGGCTAATGGGGATTTGACCTGGACATTACTCACACATGGGTAATATGGTAAGAGTGTTTTATTGTCTCATAGGCAAATATAATGAGCACTGTGTATTTGATACCATTTATGTAGAGTAGAAATTACTTACTTTGCAGTCCTTGGTTAAAAGGTCAAATTTTTATTCTCCCATATCGTACATAACCCATAACTGATGCAATGCTAATGACGGACATTAAAGTAAAAGCCATAAAGTAGTAGACACTGTGGATTCAAGTCTTACTAAGAGCTGGTAATGTATAAGGAGTAAAAATGACCTCTTTGCGGTTCTAGTGTTAAAGTAAATTCAAAGAATCCCACCAGTTATATTCTAGTTATTTTTCTTTCATTCAGTTTTGAGCTTTTTTCATGATTCAGATGGATTCAGTTTTTAAGTTCCCTGAATCACAAAGTGCAGTATTTACTGGTTGGATAATGAAAGACACACAACTGGCAAAAATGCAGTACAGACCATGCTGATCTTAACGTCTATGTTTCTGTTCCATGAACCGCCATTTGTATCTTTTGTACCAAAGTAGAAAAAGCTAAAAATGTTTACAGCTTTCCTGCCTAGTCTGGGGATCAAATTAGCATACAGTAGTAGAGCAATATAATTTTAGTTGTTTATTTTTATAAGCTCCTTCTTTAAAATTACAAATTGGGAAACTGTTATATTCAGAAACAACATTTTACTTAAAAGCCTGCTGTTAAACACTAAGACTCCAATGGAAAGGCAGCTGTACATTGTCATTATTTAGGTAGACAGAAAGCTACCCTGCAGGGGAGCCCAATAGATGAATGTAACAGATACATTTTCTGATCTGTCTATGGCAGCTTTTTCCATGTATTTTCAAAAAGATTTTTAAATCATGCTATTATCTCTTGTGGATTTCACTTTTATTTTTATTTTTCTTCAATATTTCTTCCAGCCTGCTATATTGCGTAATATGTGATTGTATACATGAACGAAGATAGTTTGTTTTTCAGATTGGCCTTGTTGCTTGCTGAGAAGTTTAACGTGAATTTTATCTGCTTAGGCTGTTAAATCATTTTGTATATTATGAAAGCAAAGTACCAGGCATACATCAACATGCTAAAGTATAGTTTTCAAAAATGAAACTGAATCCTCTGACTTAATGGCTGTGAATTTATAAATCATGTTATTTTTTTTTTTAGTAAATATATTATTTCAATCTTTTTATTTGTAAGATGCTTATATATTTTATTCCAACAAGGCTCATGATGATTCGTCACATAGTTAATAAAATGGAAGAAATATATTTTCCGTCACATAATGAATTGTTGCAATGTCAACATGTATAAAAAGGAGCTAAATGTCTTTCTCATCATTGCTTCAGCATATTAAAATACATTGAAAAGCAACCTATTAACTCGCATTTAAAATAAAACATAATGTAAATGTTATTGTTTAAAATCCAATTTAAGCTCATTCTCTGCTATTTGGCCATAGAGTTAATCATTCCAATCTCATTTGTACATTTTCTCTTACATGACTCTGTCCATCTCATTTAAATGTGTCATGATATTATTATTTTACTCTGTGATGAAACATTCATGAGCCTGATGTGAATGTCTTATTTAAGCACCTTGTTTTCTGTTAAATGGGTTGTCTGACTTAATATTTCAACCGCCTTAAATTTTTTGAGATTTAAGTAAAAATGTAAATCGTTGTATTATTTCTAATGTTTATATTGTTGTTAAATCTTCATTTATTATTTTTATAAAAAGCATTTCAGTATGTTCCAAGAGCTGTGAGGGTTCTAGTTTATTTAGCTACTTAGAACCATGTTTTTTATATTGCATATTGTAGCACTTCTGTGTCTAATAAGAGTTCTAAGTGATGAGGAAAACATATAGAGAGTGCAACAATTATTTGAGTGCATCAAAACAAACAAGAGCACAAAGATGTGTTTTTTTATTATTATTTTTAATTCTTAAAACTATGTTATCTGCTTTCAGACAAAGTACTGTGAAATAAAGTTAAGGGTGCACATACAGCAAAGTCAGTATCTTTATTATAATATTAACACTTTTTAAAATTATTTTTACTATGATAATAGCTTAGTTTCAAGAATGTGGGAAATTATAAATTGAGTGTACATTGAATGATTTGCAAAAATGTAGATATAAAAAGCAAATTACTATAGGTCTAATGTACGGCCTTCAGCTTTGGCCATTGTTTGGCCAACCAATCAGACCTTGTCCTCAGTTGAAATATTTTTCTTTTTTCATTCAAATTGAAAATTCCCATATACTAAGGCTACTGTACAATTAAACAATTTAGGAAAGCACAAAAGATGACGATATCATTGCTACCATAGTTCTGATTCACAACAGAATTCACATATCTCTGGATATATTTTAAGCAACATTTAAAATAACTAGTTTTGTGTGAACTTTGTTAAGTCTAAAGAAACAGATACTTTCCAGAACTCAGAAATTTGAGTGCATGTCTAATTGCTATGGCAACAGATTGCTTGTATGTGCTATGGATTTGAGCACCTCCCTCAAAGTGTCCATGGGCCCCGCAACTGTCAGTTTGTATAAGTAGGCAAAAATGTTTTGGTGTGACTGAGAAAGGTAAAAATGTTTCAAGGCTTTGTGTTGCACATTTAAATTCATCTCAAACACATGCTCTTTACTTGGGATACTTAAAAACTTCATTTTTGAAGCCTTTCCAACAAACTGACACCATGGTGGATCCATCATAGAGCCAAATTACAGCTGAAATATGCTGTAGCGATGCCAGACTGATGGCAGAGAGAGTAGGAGATAATTTTTGTGTCCATCATTCCCATATTTACAAATAAATACACACCTGAAAATGTTCTGCAACATATGCCAAGACATGTCATGCTTTTCTAAATCATTAATGGATAAATTCATGCTTTAACATAATTAGATCTAATTAGAAAATTACACTGCAGATCAAATACTAATTTATAGTTTCCTTGGGAGCTGAATCTCTCGTTTGATGTATTTATTTCAAGAATCAAGTCTTTTTTTCCCCCTATTTACCACTGCTCCCTTTATGCCTTATACATATGATCATATTGACAATAATGTCTTTTAGGTATTGTGTTATGTCGTTTAATATACATCAGGCTGACAGCTGTTAAAGGTGGACTAATGGAAGCTTCACCATTAGTCCGCCTCTCCTTTAGTGATGGTCACACCTGTCAGACTAATTTGGATATCAATTCTTCATCCAGCAGATGTGTCGTCATGGACACCTGGTCACAAATTTTAATATAGTGAAGGCAGAAAGACAGCAATGTCTGAGTGATTAACTGATCTCATTTAAAACTTAAAATAATGATGCTTTCTCCTTAGAGTAGTTTTTTTTCCCCGGAGAACAATATTTAAGAGCAGTAAAAAGCAGATGAATGCGATGCACCATGTACAGGTCTCTAACCTCTCATTTAGAGATTCCAGTTCCCCAGCACATAAATACATGCACACTAAAGAGCAATGTACAGTTGTCAAGTGAATGCATAATTTTTATTGAGAGAAACCCACAGTACTCCAGAAAAAAACAGAAACTATGCAGCAAGACCTCCCAGACAACATTTGAATGGAGATTTGTTTAGTTGCGAGGCAAAGCTGCAAATCCCTGAAACCCCGTCCAGCCAGTTTTGGCAAACTAATTAAGTTAAATCCTATAATAACCTGGCAAACGTATAGTGCTTATTTCATTCATTAAGCCTCATTTGTCTTTTTTTTTAATTTTCCCCTTATCAATTTTCATTATTTTTCATTGGTCAGTGCTTTATTAATTTTTCTGATCCTTTTGTTCTTTCAAAGTTTCCTCCTAATTCATCAACCGGTTCACTTAATTCTAGCTGTCAGCGCATCCCCACCCAACTAATCAATTTCTTGTCCCTGTTCTCAAAACATTTCACATCTGACCAAAACATAAGACTAGGTTTTCTTTTCTCAAGATATGTCAAACTTCTTATTTGTATTTATTTTTTTTTTTCATGAAGTGCGTAATACATTTCTGTAAGTGTGTACTGCATCAATTCAATTTTTTACTAAGTACTTCGTTTGCAGACTACTTTTTATTATTAGTACTTTGCGTATGGGGATTACTTGGATTGTTGGCAGCACTTTGAAATTTTATGCGAATGGCTCCATAAGAAATATTCAGACTAAGAAAAAATTGTAATGTTCCATAATAATTTTCCCCTCTGCATTTGTCTGAGGCACAGTAAACAGCGACATTAACTTTCTCAGTGTCGTCTCTAGGTTTTTATTGCATTTTTGGAGAAATTAAATTATCTTACTTAAACCAGTGCATACGTTAAATTAATGTGATGCCCAGTAACAACTATAACTAATCACAAATAGCTAGACTTCCACCCATAAAATGCAGAAACATCACAAAAAATTAAATATTTTATTACTTTTTGAAGCTTTGTAAAAGTAAAAGAATAGAAGTCCAATCAGCAGTTGCTAAATACAGATAAGTGAACAGGTGCACTGGACTACATCCAAAGACTTTTAGGGGGCCAGATTCTGCAGTTGACGAACTGCTGAGAATTATTGTAAATGGAAAAAAGGTCCTAAAATGTGTCCTCTTCATAGTGAACACCATCTGTCAAGCTGTCATAACTACTTTTTCTGTAAAATCCACCAAACTCATTTTACACATATATTTGTACTTTTTGGGAACTTATCACAGTTGGTATGCTTTTTACGGTGACACGCTTGCTTCTTTTCTTTTGCAAATGACTTGTCTGTAGGGAAATGAAGGGAAGGAACTGAATGCAGTGGATTGTTGCTTTGATGAAGACTTTTGAACAACAGATGGGATCACCAAACCAAAATTCTTCAGTTAGTCTTTAAAAAACAGAAGTACTGCCAATACAGCTTCATTTGAGTCACTTATGACAAAAGCTTCATAGTAGTAGTGATCTATTTAGGAAAAAGAAACATGGCTACAAACAGCATCACTCAGCACTGTATAATTTGATAAAGAAATAATTAAATAAATACAAGGATGCAACAGTAATCAGTGTTGCATCCCATACAAAAACAATGTAGAATTGTTTTGTATGGAGCAGAAAAACATAAAGAGCTTAGAAAGTTCTGCTTTTGACTTTGTTTATGAAAACACAATTAAGCAAAGAAGCACCAGACCAAGAGCACTGTATATGGGAAATACAAATCAGGAAAGAGCACAACATTTATTGAAGGAGCATTGATGTCAGTGGCTCCATCCAGGAGAGAAAGTTTAATATACTGAACTCCAATTGAGCTTACAGTTCTAGATTGTCTTGGGATAACAGTTTCTTTAGTCAGGGGCTTCTTTAAATTTGCTGTAATACAGACTGCTACAGAAGATCTTTTCACCACCTACAAAAGCTCCCTGAATTAATATGAATTACATTTAATATGAGTTTAATTGAATTTCTATGAGAAATAAAAATATATATATATAAATAGCGCCAAATATATTACAAAATAAAAAGAGAGGAAACAATTAGTGGCAACGAAGACATGTAAAACCAATATTTTTAATCATATACATGCCTACACATGTTTACTGTGACCATTGCTTTTTTGTGTTTGTTTATTTGTTTTTAAACACAGAAAAGGAGCTTAATAATAGTAATTTACTAATAATTTACTTTCTTACTGAATTCTTAGTCATAATTTATGAAAGAAGTAAATTATGATTAATCCCTGAGGATTTTAATGATCTTTCCTCCAGCCTTTGTAATAGCATGTAAAATATGTACAAGATCAATTGCTGTTTTCCTGCAAGAACTTTTCCTGCCATCTTTTCAGCAAAGTTCAGTAAAGAAGATCAAAAAGTCAGATGTTTGGAGTGCTTGCAAACCTAAGCTTAAAGTACTCCAAGACAGCAAACACCAAAGTTCCTCAGCTCTTGTCAAATTTAGTGCCTAATTGGATATGGGCGATCGACTTAGAAGAACAGCGTATCTACAGTTGGCTCTAAAATGAGATCAGCTCTAAAGATCAAAGCTCAAATAACTAGTATAATTAACAGACTGAGCTCAAATGAAGCTGCTTTGGAGTTGATAGAACAAGCTAATAAACTACAGGTTAAAACATTTGACAGATTCAACTTAGGAATTGTTTTACAGGGAGGCACTGAGATATATCTGTACATCTCTGGAACTACCTAGCAACAGAAAATGATTAAATGAATGAAATTACATCAGACTTGCATCACACTTTTTATGACCCTAATTTGAAATCAGTCACAAGCTGATGATGGCAAGCTACTGGACCGTAGCTACTGCTGCCCAGGGCAGTCTGAGCAAAGCAAGGCTGTTCTGACCACCACCAGCAGGCAAGGTGGGTGAAGCGTCTTACCCCAGGACACAATGACAGAGGGAAATTAGCACCTACTGGAGGGACACATAAATCATCAATGAACGCTTATCTTAAGTACAACTGGCATATGTCTTTTATGTTTCCCTTAATTGTTCATAAAGTGCCTTGTAATGTACTGCCACCTTGTCCACAGTGTACTCTGCCTGTTACCCAGAGTTTGGCATCAGCTCGCCCGCAACCCTGCATGGACAAGAGTAAAGGATGGATGGATAGATGAAAATGGATGCTCATATCGTGCCCCAGACCATGCTGCTCTGGGCATTAAATCATTTGTCCATAAAATAAATTGCTACGGGCTAAACAATATTGTATTTCATAACTGATTAATTCTCAAATCAAGAAGACATGGGTTTGTTATTTTCAATTTTCAGCTTTCAAATGCATCATGTCTGTCACACGTTACCTAAAATATATGGAACTTCAAGGTAATTATTTTACTGATTTCAGGTTTCAAACTGATTTAGTCTAAGTTATTTGTAAAAAATCTTCCAAATCAGTCTTTAACACAATGTTTATGATGATTGTTATGAGACCTACACTTTCAGACTTACTACCATCAACAACATTGTAAAAAGCTATATTACTAATGTGCTTTGAAGCACTCCGCTGTGACAACCTGAGATTTTGTTCTCAAGGTCTAACATTAATACCTTAAGGACATCTGTAACTGAAAGCCTGGGGCAAACTGTACAGATTTAAAAGACTCCAGGGCTTTGATTAACCAGCAGCATTCAACTCCCCAGGAATAAC